AATCTACAAATAATAATTACAGTAATTGAGACAATCTAAAAATAATTTTAAGAATTCCAAAAACATCCAAATAATTCCAAACCATTACGATTAAATTCTAAAAAATTTCAGAGTTGAAACTGATTTTTCTTTCTTTTTTAATCACACTGTTTTCACATTTCCATTAAAAAAAAAACAGACTACTTTTTTCAACTTGTATAAAACTAACAAAATCTTTTTTACAGTTCACCCTGTATGTTGCATCAGTTAATGAAGAAGGACTTTACAATTTATACTTTCACAGCTGTCCAAATTACCAACCTGGAACCGAAGTATCAGTCGACTTTACCATTGAGATAGTTGAACAAAATATGAGTAGTTTTCTTTCCGCTGGTGAAATGCCATTACCAGCCTTATATTCAATGATGGCAATTTTATTCTTATTATCGGGCATGTTTTGGGTGTTTCTATTGCGTCAGTCTCGTCATGTTGTTTTTAAAATCCATTATATGATGTCAGTCCTTGTTTTTTTGAAGGCAATTTCTTTGGCTTTTCACGGTGTTAATTATCATTACATTGAACGACTTGGTGTACATTTAGCCACATGGGCTGTGCTTTTCTATGTAGCTCATTTACTAAAAGGAGCACTACTTTTTATCGTCTTAGTACTGATTGGTACTGGATGGACTTTTATCAAACATGTCTTGGCACCACGTGATAAACGTCTTTTTATGGCCGTTATTCCTTTGCAAGTTTTGGCAAATGTGGCTGAAATTATTCTGGAGGAGAGTGAGGAAGGGGCTCGGGAACACGTAGCCTGGAGGAATGTTTTTATTTTAGTGGATTTATTGTGTTGTGGTTGTATTTTATTTCCTGTGGTTTGGTCTATTCGTCATTTACAAGAAGCATCACAAACCGATGGTAAAGCAGCAATGAATTTGAGAAAATTAAAATTGTTCAAACATTTTTATCTAATGATCGTTTGCTATATTTATTCTACACGAATAATTGTTTATCTTCTTAAAATAACCGTTCCATTCCAGTATGGATGGTTGGATGAAATGTTTAGGGAAATGGCTACGTATGTCTTTTTTGTCTTAACTGCTTATAAATTCAGGCCAGCGGCTCATAATCCATACTTTGCTCTTAGTGATGATGAAGATGATGATGATGAAATGGATAAAGTGTAAGGTTATTTTTTTTAGAAAAATTTGAAATCAATGATTATGTTATAGACTTACTGAGTCAGGGGCAACTGAAGGTTTAAGTAGAGTTAATTCAAGAGTTACCAAAGTGCCACTACATACCACTTTGACAGAAGTGACAGAAGAAGAGAAAGATGCATTATTGGGTCAACCAGAAAGTAGCCACGAGTATGATTAACTTGATATCATGAGGCTTAATACAATTTTTTTGCCTGTGATAGTGTTTTCAGCTTGTCATTTTTACGCACTTCATTGCTGGAGCCAAATAATGCATTTCTTATTTATTCCTAAATTGTCCGATAGATGTAACATTAATAATAAATTGTTATAAATTATCAAATTCTTTGTTTTTGTTTCCAACCTTGATCCAAACCGAAATTTTATTTTTTTTTCTATTTTGAAAGAAGCTATACCAAAAGCGGTGCTTTAATGAGAGATTTCGATACCAATTTGGGTGCTGAAATAGACTAGTACAATTTATTTTCTAAAGGTTGGTAATGGTGATTTTCAGGTGGTGTGAATGAAACGATTGAGTTTTCATTGTTAATTCAACAAAATTTTGAAAAATATTCGAGACTTAACTTTGTGACATTTATTACCAACCACCACCTTATTAGAGTAAAAGTTCCTACATTTTGCAAAATTGAGTTTATGGTAAAAAAGTACATAAAAGACGCAAAATAGAAAAAATAGCATAAGAAACTTGTCCTACGAAACGCGTTCTTTAATATACAATTTCATTATTAAAATTTCCACATATGTGTGACCTTAGAACCTAGTCTATTTAGATTTTTATCACAATCCAAACAGGAGTAATATCTTTTAAAATCCAATTATGTCCTCTGTGAGAAAATTTGTTTACATACAAATAACATTGTTGTTAAAGTTCGTTGATCACTCAAAGAAACTTAATTGACAAAAGTATTGTGCTGTTAACCTTTCTTATCTAGAATAAATTATTGTGACTTTGTGTGCAACAATACATCACCTCGTGGATTTTGTAGAAGACTTTGTTTTATTCTGTCAAGATCTATCCCCGAATTCGGCAAAGACTGTAAGTAATTGTACTATTTATAAAATTCGCAAGTTGTCAAATTCATTATTAAGATCTTTTATCTGTACACAAACAATATAGATATATTGTTATTTTTAGATTATTGACACGATCACTAATTTGACTAGAAAGTAATTCCATGCGAAAACGTTCACTTTTAAATCTCAATCTCCGATTTTTGTTAATTAGAGAATGTGTAAAAATAAAAAACGTGTTTTATTGTTTTCTTTTTTGTTTGTACTGTACCTGTATCTGAAAAATAAACTAGCATTTAAAAAAAATATATAAATACAAATACACTAGAGACGTAAATTAAATGTGTCCTAAAAATTTG